CATTGTTTCGAATCTATATCATTTTATCTGAGAAAGAATTCAAGATGATACCTTGAAAACAATGCATATATCCACTCGCAATCAACTTGCAGATTTAATGATAAAAGCACTTCATTTTACGTAGTTCGACAATTTGTTGAACAAGATGGGTACAATAAATTTATACTCTCCATCTTGAGGGGGAGTATTAAGATTAATCATTGATTAGTTGAAATTAGTTTGTTAATTATAACCGTTTTTGTTTTTTTTTTTTGCCGTTGTACAAGCTGTATATAGTTTTTGTTGGCCATAATACAATCAGAAATCCTCTTCTCCTCTGTTCCTAACAAATATTTTATAATTGTGAATATGAAACTGCAGCATTTAAGCTTTGAGACTCAGAGTGGGAGGGTCATTGCAAGATCAGGTGATATACAAAATAGGTGATTCAGCCAAGGAATGCAAACCTTTCGTCACCAAGAATGGTACTCTCTTCAGCTTTAGTGGTGGTTGCTTGGAGATGGACAGATGGGATCAACTCAACTCCTTTTTCAACAAAACAGGGTATATATATATATATATTCTCAATGAGAATTTATATAATCAATTAATATAAACAAAGGTATATACTTTATGGTGTTGATATTTTATCCAGAGCCAAAGTGACATTTGGAATAAATCCTCTTACTAGAAAGAAGAAGAGCGCTGATGAGAATGATACCTTGTGGGAAGGTGATAGGGACCCAAAAAATGCCAAGGATTTTATCAGTTATACCCTTTCAAAGGGATACAACAATGACTCGTATGAATTTGGTAGGTGGACTTTTCTTTTTTTCTTTCTTTTTTTTTGTTAATTTGAAGGAGAAAACTCTAAATATATTTATATATATATTTGTGAGTAGGAAACGAGTTGTGTGGAACTGGTGTTTCTGCAAGAATTGAAGCAAAACAATATGCGAAAGACGTGGTGGCCCTGAAGAAAATCGTGCAACAAGTATACAAACATGAAAAAACACAACCGGGAGTTTTGGGTCCATCTGGATTTTATGAGGAGACATGGTTCAATGAATTCCTTCAAGCCACAGGCTTTGAAGTCCTTGGTGGAGTCACCCACCATATCTACAATATGGGTGCCGGTATTTCTTCTTTTTTTTTTCCTCATTATATGTACAGAATGAAGATTGTGTTGATTGCATACAATTACGTTTATGTAAGTAATTACATATATGGGTTTGTAGGTGTTGACAAGAAATTGATTAATCGGATTCAAGATCCTCTTTATTTGGATCAAATAGCTGAGACTTTCAAAGATGTTTCAAAAGCTGCAGCTGTGTATGCATCCTGGACTGGACCTTGGGTTAGTGAATCCAGTGGAGCATATAATAGCGGTGGCAAAGATGTTCAACATTACTTCGTTGATGGCTTCTGGTGATTATTATTATCTTATTAATTTACTTATTGTAGATATATACATACACACACACACACACACACACACACTCACACTCACATACTTACATACATACATGTAGAGAGAGAAAAGGAGAGGGGGAGACTGAAATAATATGGGTTAACAAGTATATAGATCAACTGGGCATGACAT